AGCAGCACAGAGCAGGCTCCAGAGGACCCCAAGTCCTGCCTGTGTGCACAGAGCCCACGCAGGGCAGTTGTGAGCTACCCACGGGTGCATTTCCAGGGCTAGTGGCAACACCGAGCTTTTACTTTCTGTGCTCCAGCGGCTGCCGGGATAATGGAGCCCATAATTACAGCCAGCCGCTGGTCAGGGCTCAAATTACAAACCCGGATTTCTGTGCCAGACCTTCAGGAAGCAAAGCCATGCAAGGAATCTCACAAATAACCTGCAATTACGTTAATGCAGAGGGCAGGGCCTTCCCTTAAGAGCTCTCAGACTCACTGAGTGACCCCGGCCGGCTGATCAGAGCCAGATGTGATGCTGGGGTGGAGAGGAAGGTGAGGCAGGAGGTGAATTACAGCAGGCAGGGCTCTGGTGCTCTGTACCCAGGGCTGTTTAGGAACAGACAGAAGGAAACAAAGCCTGTGGCGTGGGGCAGTCAAACAGCTCAGTGGGCTCTGTGCTGCTGAAGCTCCTTTACACCAGCCTCACCCTCCCACGGGGCAAACACGGCAGCACATCCTCAGTGTAACACAGAGGGGAGTTCCTGAGTTCTCCCCTCACCTATTTCCAGCATTTTTACAGCCCAAGATGGGGCTAGGTAGGATCTTTAGAAATTCTCTTGTCCAACCTCCGCCTTCAAAGAACCTCCATTTCTCAGATTCTTCACCTTCTCTGTAGCCCTCTGCACATGTTCCCTGTGGCAACAGGCCTGCATACAAGCCACCCAAATATTTTGAAGCTCAGTTCCACGCCGGCTCAGGCCCATCTCTGATCTGTGAGCAAACACTCTTTATCTATAAACAACCTGCTCTTTCCCAACTCCCCGCAGCAGGAATGCAGCCCTGGCTGTTTCCAGGCAGAAGCTGCCACACACAGCCCGTAATTCCCCGACATGTCGCCTTCCTCTGTTCTGATCATTTCATTGATCTGCTCTACAGAATGCAGGGAGCCTGTCTCAGTCATTGTTCCTGTTAAACTCAACTTGCTTTTCTATAAATTGAATTTATAGATGATTTATTGGCATTTACAATGACACCCTCTGTGCCATTGGTTTTCCCTCTGTTCACACAATCCTTTGGTATATTTTGAACCCTGCTTATAATGACAGACTTAGGGTCTTGCACCTTTGTAAATATTCAGATGTACTTACAGAGTAGAGTGAGGGAACTGAAGCCAAAGGAACACAGACCAGCTCAGTACCAATTTTCACTGCCCAGTGGAAAAGGAAGTCCCTTCCCATTGCAGGGAACAGCCGAGGTGCTGGAGCATCCTGGCACAGGGCCTGGACACCCTCCCTGGCAGCTGAGCTCAGAGGAAACACAGGCTGGAGAGGAACACACAAACCCAGTAAGTATTAGAAAGGATGTTTTAAAGAAGAAGTGAAGTAGCTGTGTGGATATTGGAGGTTATGCTGGCATACATTGGGGTGTGGGTACAGTGAGCTCAAGGGAGCCTGACCTGCTTCCTCTGTAACACAGGGAACCTTCCCTACTGCCCTTGCTTAGGACAGCTCGAAGCTCTGAGTGTGACCTTCAGCCATCTGAGATAAGGCCTCTTGTACCCTCAGTGGGTAAATTTAGCACAGATGTTTCTGGAAGCAGCTCCTTTACAAGGCATCCATGGCTGGCTTATAGAGAAGGAATGGTTTGAACCTAAAAGGAATAACCTCAAACTTCTCTCTCCCTTATTCCAGTGCAGCTACTCATCATGGAAGCTCTCAATTCCCCACACACACTGAGCCATCTGCTCTATTTATTATACCCAAAGACATGCTCCAAGAATTATAAAATCCCAACGAGACCAAAAGAATGCGGAGACAAAATTCCATAGTCTCTCTGATATTCCATCTGCAGCTTTTCCACAGCACACTCTTTTAGCAGACCTTTACAGATTAACCCCTGAGGTACCAGATGTACATCAATTTATGACCATCTAAAAATTTTCACAAGAAACAACGGTGAATAAGTTGCAGAGCAACAGGGAAAAGGGGAGAGAGAAATGGCAGCTCAGAATTCCAGCAAGGGAGGGAACCTCAGCTCCTGGTGCATGAGGTGCCCATGGGAAGATCAGACAGTTCTGCTCCTGGCTGCTCCAGGATGACCCTGAGAAAGTGGCCTCATCCCCCTGCTCCTCCTCCCAAGAGCTGTTTGTCTTGTCTATTTGACTGCAAACCCCAGGGTCACCATCCCACACTGGGCAGCTGAAACGGGGCCGAGACTGCCTGGAGCGACCCCACAAACAACACCACCAACGAAATGAGGCAGCAGCTGAAACAGGGCCATCCCTGCAGCACCTCAGGGCAAGGGGGAACTGCAGCAAGGGGGGCAGAGACACTGAGGGGCAAAGACTGCTCAGGGTCTTGAAAGCACGTTTACAGCCTGTGAAATGGCAAAGCCCACTGCGCAAGGCCCCGCTCCTCTAACAGCTCCTTGCAGGGCTGGGGTGTTGCTTTATTTGTATGTCAGGGTTTTCTAACCCTTCACCCTGGGGGCCTGTCACTTGGACCTCCTCAGAATCATGGAATAACAGAATATCCTAAGCTGGAAGGGACCCACAAGGGTCACTGAAGTCCAACTCCTGACAGCACTTCTCTAGTTTCTCTGCTGCTCATCATTCTCCTCACTGCAATCCCTTTTCCTCTTCAACCTCTTTGCCCTCTCTTTCTTTCTTCCATTCTTGTTTTTCTTTTCACCTTCTCTTTTGCCTCCACAAACTCAGGCTGAACTTTCTCCATCTCAAGAAGGTTCTCAAAACAAACAGGAGCTTGTGAATTATTAACAGTGTAGACTAAAAATAGCATAATTTTTAGTGACAGCCAGACCTCCGAGATGCAGGTACTATTGCACAGATCACCTACCTTGGACTTGGTGTGACTGGCCCTAACTGTTCCTACTTTGTCAGGAGTGCTTTATAGAATGACAGCTGTGAGGAGGAGGAACATAACTTGTGGGCCTTAGAAAGCCCCAGGGGCTTTTCTAGTCCTTTTCTGTGTTTTACACTCACTGTGCTGATCAGACTCCTGGAGGTTTGTCTGCACAACCCACACCAGGACAGCAAACAGAACCCGACAGACTCGGTTGGATCCCAGTGTTGTAAAAAGGCTGGAAATCCTCACTGTTTGAAGGTGTGTGAAATTAGATTAAAATATATTCCTCTGTATAAAAAGTAGACTAAATGACCTAATCACTTCTTCCAGCCTTAAATCTACTGTGCTAATGTGCAGAATGCACACTGGGGAAGAAACACCAACTGTTGGGGCAATACTTACAGGAACACAGAGACATAAAGAAATAATAAATTGCAAAATACTTTTCTTTTAAAAAAAAGCAAGGAAGGCAGCAAGCTTGTAACACCCCTGCAAAGCTCTGGTTCTCTGGCTGTAACAGCCCCAAGGTCAGCAAACAGAATTCAGCCTTGTGCTGGCTCTGTGGGAGGGTCAGACCCTCAGGAGAAACCTCTGTGAGCCCCCTCAGCCAGGGGCTGGCCTGGCTCAAACACTCCCAGCTCAGAAGCAACTCCCAACAGCATTTCACAATATTCACTGGCTACAAATCTGCCTTGTGCCAAGAGATGAGGCGCTCAGAGCTGCTCAGGGCTCTTCCCTCTGCGGGCAGAGGAGGATGGATAGAGCAGGAACAGGGTTATGCTGTGTCAAACTAATGCTACGATGGGCTAAGGGAGTTTATACAAACCCCTGTTAATCCGTGCTAGTGTTTGAATCACCAAAAATATTCCAGACTTCTTCCTGCTCCTTTCTTTGACATTGTGTCACTACCCGGGTTAAAAAAAGCTTCACTAGCCTTGCTCAGCCAGGGGTGATTCCTGGCTGTTGCTGAATAGCTCATCCCGATGGCTATTGCAGCATCTGCCAGCGAGGCCACTGCTTTGGAATGAAATCACAATCATTATCTGCAGTTAATTATCCTGCTGGGTGCTTCTCTGAAGTCCAGGACAGAGCAAGGAAGGGTCACTTTTTCTAGAAGAGGGGCAGAACTTAGATATGCAAAAGGAATAAAAAAGGAAGGAGAAAGCAGAGGACAGAGATGTTAATACAGATCACTCAGAGACCGAGGTGGCCTCAGCATCTCTTTCTCCAAGTTGTTTGTGGACAACATTAACAGCAAATTCAAAATTTTATCATAAACAAGCTCTTGCTGGATGTAGATGCTGAACTATAAAGAAATATCAAAGGGTAGGAGAGTCCTGAGACTCTTCCAGCCCCTGGTTAGGGCAGATGAAATTAAGTGCTCACATCTCTGTCCTACACACATTCCACAACGCAGTGTTTGCATATTTTTTGGTTTACGTGTCACCCTGCAGTCCCGTGGTCAAACAGACATCAGGGATGTCACAACCTGCCTTAAAAGATAGTGTAGACAATCTCTCTCTGTGCTAGGAACATTCTCTGCTGCTGGTCTGGCATTTAGGCAATATAAGAACACTTCTTATCCCATTTGAGGAGTCGGTAGCCTCTGAACACAACCCCATCAGTACATCCCCACTACAGCAGCTAGAAACCACCTTTTGATTGCAATATGGGGGGTGTGTTCACTGTGGTTCTTTGCTGTACTCTGAACCTCCACGTTTTGGGGGAGCCAGGTCACTACAGATTTAGTCCCTTGTGTCGTTTAAATGTGACTCCTCTGTTGGCGCGGGCGGGGCTGGGGCTGTACTGCGGGTGCCGCTGCCGCGGACAGGAGGGACTGGTTCGGCGGCCGTCCCGGGGCTGCTGCGGCGGTCACACGGAACCGGGGACAGCGCACGCCGAGGCCGGCACCAGGAAGAGGGACAGGCCGGGCGGGCAGAGCCGGTCAGCACGGGCAGATCCGGCAATCAGAACCGGCGGGCAGAGCCCTGCCCGCAGCCCCACCCGCCCGGCGGAGCGTCCCGCCCGGCGGGGGGGGGGCCCGGGGCGGGGGGCCCCCCCCCCCGCCCCCCCCCGCCCGGCCCCGCCGCCTCCCCGCCCGCATCTTCGCCGCCGCCAGCCGCCTGTCCGGCCGCAGCGCCGCCGCCCCGCAGGCGCCCTCCATGCCAAGCTTCCCCCGAATTCAACGCAGAAGCTCATCGTGAGCGGCGGGGTGCGGGGCAGCGCGGCCCGCCCGGCTCGGCGGGCTCACACGGCGCTGCCCCCGGGGACGGGCGTATCCGGCACATGGACCTTTTCCCGGCCCGCGCGGGGATGCGCGGGCCGTCGGGGCCGACTCGGGGTGCGTACGATGGTCCGGTGCCGTACCGATGGTCCGGGTGCGGTACCGATTGGTCCGAGTGCTACCGATGTCCGGATGTGCGGTACCGATTCCGGGTGCGTGGCCGCTTATCCCGGGATGCGGTGCCGATGATCCCGAGGTGCGCTAGCGATGATCCCGGGATGCGGCGCCGATGATCCCGGCGTGCGGCATCACCCGCAGCACAAGCAGGCGTCCAACGCCCCGTGTTTCTCCCCGGTGACTCGATGGCTTTGGCAGCCCGGGCTCAGCCCTGGGGGTAGATCGGTTCCTCAGTGACATAAGACCCGGCTCTCGATGACTTTAAATGGCGTGAAACAAGCGGGCTGAGGCACTGCCTGGTTCCCGTGTCGCCGCTGTAACGCGCTGCCTTTTTCTCAACCGCCTTTCCCCTTTGTTCCCCCAGCACGGTCCCGCACGGTAGGAGAGCTCCTCGCCCCCACGGCTCCCTTCGACAAGAAGTGTGGGCGGGAGAACTGGACGGTCGCGTTCGCTCCCGATGGCTCGTACCTGGCGTGGTCGCAGGGACACCGCATAGTGAAGCTGGTCCCCTGGGCACAGTGCCTCAGTAACTTGTAAGGCAAACCTCTGTGGCTTCTAATGCACCTGAAAAACGGAACAATTTAAAAACAGGACATGGGTTTCAATGGATTAAAATGCATAGACTGGCTTTTTAGGCTTTGGCACCTTGGGGAAAAGCTACTTCCTTAAAGTAACAGCTGTTATTTCATCTCTTCCTCTGTGGCCAGCAAGAGCATCAACTATTGCAGCCTCACAAAGTCTGTGGAGGAGGGATTTATTAGTAGTTTCAGATGCCCTAAAGTAAGAGGAAGTTTGAATGAAAAGGGAAGTTATAGACCTGGGCAGATCTGGCCCTTTAAATTTCCCATCACAAAGCTGTTTGGTTTTACCTTTTAGGAATTTACTTAAAGGCAGACCTCTTTCCTTATCATCTGTGTTAGAATGCAGGTAAAGCTTAAAAACACAAGTTTACTGGCACTTGCAGGTTGCATTTCAGTGAAGTTGGTAACCAGCCACTACAGTTCTGTAGCTGGTTACATTTTCCTGACCCTTTTCCACCCACCTTCTTGGGGTGGTTAATATTTTCCATGTCCTGACCTCAGTATCTCTTCCCAGGTTTTAACACACACAAGGGAATTGCAGGGAACTTGCTCATTTAGCAGAAAGTCTTAGAAATTTTTGTGACTCATTTTTCTATAAATGCTTTAAACCTGTTAGCTTTCACAGTGGGTTAAGTTAATATCTTGCTCTCGACAGAGATAAAAATGAGTACAAAATATTACTATTATATTATGTAGGAAGATTTCCAGGTGCTGGTAATTTTTCACACTTATAAGAAAAAAACTGCATTTATAATTTTAAAGTAAAAATGCCCCATTATGGGTCTCAGAGATGTACATTATGACAGCTCAGAGGTTTCATTACATCTTTAAGAAATGTTTGCTGTTCAGGATAACTTCTGCTGTATTTCTGTATTTTCTGTGTGTTCACAGTTTGCTGCACGGCACAAAGAATGGTGCAAACCCTGCCAGCAGCAGGCTCCCGAGGCAGAACAGTGAGAGTGGGCAGAAGAACAAGCCCTGTGAGCACATCCTGGACTGCGGGGACATCGTGTGGAGCTTGGCCTTCGGCTCCTCGGTGCCGGAGAAGCGGAGCCGCTGCGTCAACATCGAGTGGCACCGCTTCAAGTTCGGGCAGGACCAGCTGCTCCTGGCCACGGGCCTCAGCAACGGCCGCATCAAGATCTGGGATGTCTACACAGGTGGGTGTGCAGTCAGGACAGCCTGAGCTGCAAGGGACACACGAGGATCATGGAGTCCAGCTCCTGGCCAGGCACAGAACACCCAGACAATCCCACCGTGTCCCAGAGAGCATTTTCCAAGCACTCCTCGTCACACTGAAGTGCCAGCACACACTTGGTGTAACGCCATTAGTCCACAGAAGGAATTGGTTACAGAATTGTACTTGGGAACTGAAACTTGAGTACAAGTTAAATAATCTAAAAAAAGCATGAGCTCCTGCAACCAAAAGTAATCAAAACCTGCCAGAGGAACAAGAGATGCGGGTCATGCTTTGAGATGTGAGTGGTGGAAGATGCAAAATGGTTAAATGTGTGCATACATACATTGGTTGGTTACTCTAAAATCTTCCTAGTTTTACCATACTTTCGAAGGAAACTTTCAAAGCATGAAGTTGCTGCTTTATGGTGATGAGGACCTTTTACTTTTCTAAAAAGTTAATAATCGTTCAACTCAAAAAGACTGCATCTGAACGTAGGGACTCTCAGCTTCGCTGGCAGCACAGCTGCTAAGCTGGAGGGAACTCCTCAGCTTTAAAAAAATTCATGACTATTGAGTAATTTGCTGTTATCTTGTAAACTGAAGCTTAGAACTGGAATGTCTGTCAAGAGCCAAGTCTTGCCTTATTTCTGAGGTTCTAGTGTACAGATCTTCTGGCTTTTCAGGGAGTTGCCTCTTGATCCAGGGGAGTGAAGGGACTCACATGCTGCTCACCGTAGGGAGCATTTCTGCAATGAAAATTGTCTTCATGTGCTGTAATTTTGTATTCAGTGTTTGTATCCATAAAGCATTTGATCTGAGGAAAAGTACAGTCCATGTTAAATTGTGTTCTCATGTAACAGGAAAACTCCTCCTGAACCTGATGGACCACACGGAAGTTGTCAGAGATTTAACCTTTGCCCCTGATGGCAGCCTGATTTTAGTGTCTGCATCCAGAGACAAAACCCTGCGGGTGTGGGACCTGAAAGATGATGGTTCGTGCTCAGAGTTTATCTGCTCTAAAACCCGGGAGAAATATCTGTGTACTTGCCTCTTTTATTGCTGTAAACTCAGTTTGGTCAGGATTGCTTAAATAATGAGTGTAGCTCTGTTAGTCACCCACTCTACACTCTCTTGGAATTCTTTATCTGGGTGTACCCTGAAGGGAGAATGGGGACTGGGCTAAGTTAAGAGTGCATGAAGTGACTTTCTGAACAGGGACATGGGATTTAGAGGCTGCACCACAGGATTTTTGTTTCTGTGTACAATGACTCTGCAAGATGTTTGGAAAAACAGTACAAAATTTTACAAAGGAATAACTAATTTGGAAAAGCTTTTCAATCCGAATTTTGTAATATTAAACCAATTCTTACAGCAGCGTCTTTCTTTTCAGGAAATATGATGAAGGTGTTGAGAGGCCACCAGAACTGGGTGTATGGCTGTGCATTCTCACCAGACTCCTCCATCCTCTGCTCTGTTGGAGCTAGTAAGGCAGTATGTGTCAGAGTTTCTTGTTCCTTAAATCTCCTGAATTGTGTGCATAATCATTTGAAATCTAAATAACATTAAGCTTGTGCTCGGTGTCATGAACTTCTAATGTTTGATGATGATGTAAAAGTGCATGAAATTAGACTGGCAAATGGTGCACTGAGACCCTGATTTGTGAATGAAACTTGCACTGCTTTTAGTAGAAGAGGCTGTAAGTGTTCTTTGAGAAATAGGTCTGCACATCTGCATGGGGTCATGGCATAGACCAAAGACAGCTAGAGCTGCCAGTGTTAAAAGATACTTAGATTAATGCATAAAACTATTTTGATTTGATTTGATGCTTTCTATTTCCTGCTCAATAAGGACTTTTCAAAGTCTGAGCCAGTCAGGGTATCTCCTGCTGAACAAAAGTGTTTCTCCCTGTTTTCCCATACCAATGGCACAAGAGTTAGAAGGAGGAGCAGCACACTAGTTTTGTTTCCATCCCATCCCAATGCCCTGCCAGAGAACTGAAAGCAGTGCAGCTGTGCCATGAGCTACTCTTGGCACCCAAGAATTAGGGCAAACAAGAAAGGGGGATTCCTGGTTCCAGGGACTCTGTAGGTAGATCAGTGGAGTGAAAAGCCCAACCCACTTGTCCGGATGAGCTCTCATATGTGTTCCATCCCTCGAGTTCCCAGTGCAGATCTGCTGGAGAACAGCTGAGCTCTGGGGTTTGGCTCTGTAGCTGGAGCAGAGGGGGGGTGGGCATTGCTGTCTGTAGGCTGTGTGTTTTCCATAAGCTTCTTGCTTTCCCTGTCACAGGTGGTGGCAGCAATATTGGTGTGATTGAGTTAAGCTGCCCCTCTGGGAGCACAGTGCTGTTAGAGAGGGGCATGCCCATGCCTGGCCGCCAGCCCGGGCCGGTACCGTAGGACGAAGTAACCTTGCCCTCGGCTGCAAGGGGTCCTGTACGTACGCAGGTGCTGGTCCATGTCCACTGTCTGCTTGCTTGCTTGCTTTCCTTTTTTTTTTTTTTGATAATTTTCACAGCAGTGAAACACACTGACTCCTCAAACCTAGTTCCCAGTGTTGTGGAATGTTGGGGGCTCCTCGGAAAAATCGGTCAAACCATGACACGTTTATGACCGACTGTAAAACGGTTCAGTTTTAGGAAGTGTGGGAGGCACTAAGGCTGTGCTTGCTTTGGTCAAACGTAAATTTATCCAAGATGTCAGAATTTAATCTGTGTGGTAAAACTGTTGGGGGGAGGGGGAAATCAGGGTCCCTGAAATGAGCTCTTAGAGGGACATAACAGCTTTTGTTAAAGACTTACATTCCTATAAAATCACGCTGCAGTACATGGATAGTTCCTATTAAGTAATTCTGCACAGTCTCTATTCTGATTATATATAATGTACAACTGCATGTAAAATCCCAGAATACTGTAATATTTTATCAATTCTTATAATACACTGTGCAATTAGCTGGGTAAATTGTAATATTAATGTTGTTTGTTGCTGTTGATTTAAAATGCCT